CAGAAATGCATCTTCTGTCTGACCAAAAGGCTGTTATTGTATCAAATGATTTTGAGGATCTTGCCAATATAATTCTGATGAAATGATGAGGGAGATCTGGAGATGCAGCCCTTCAGGCTACATACAAAGCCAGTGACCTAGAGTAAGCTGCTCTGAAGATTTCTCACCAGTGTTTTAGAGTGACTGGTCATCCTGTCCAGAGCGTGTTTGGAAAGCTGTATAGTGGAAAAATGCTCCTGTTATCTGCCTCTGACAGCATGTCCCTCCCTGTGTGGTACAACTAACATTGAGGAAACATGTTACTGTGCATTAGATAGTGGGGATGGTGGTGGGCTTCATCTTTGTTTCTTGTTTTACTGAGCCACGACAACTAGTCTCCTTCAGTGAGGAGGAAAGTTTAGAATGCAGACATGAGTGCACAGCTGTGTTGATAAGGCTTTCCAGTAAATAGCATACGGTAATTGAGAATATATCCTTTAAAATGAAATATTCTTATTTCTTCCCTTCCTGAATCTTGACCTCTCCCGAAAACCTTGGATTTGGATTCCACACATTCCACATTTGTAATTTATTTAAGACTGCTGAAGGTGGCATTTTATTTTTTGTCTACCATCCCTCAATGAAGGTAATTTTCATCGAGATACAGATTTGAAATGTGTTTTTTACTAGCACTAGTAGAAATAATTGTTTGAAAGTAGACTATTTTCCCAGATTAATATTGACAGCGATATATGTAGAGAGAATGCAGCAAAGCTTGGGAGTATGTCAACTAGCCACAATTTTTTTGTTATCAGTTCGTCTTTGAAATTGATTTTTGTCATTTTAGATTACGGTTGTTATAATACAGGCAGTGTATTATATGTATATAATTGTATAATACAGGTAGATTATTTAATACCAGGTCTTTTCAGTTTGATTTTACTGAGAAGTTCCCCTTTCTGTGAGTAAATGTGTTTTATTCCCTGGTGATCACTTGCGTGAATAATTTTTTTTTTTTTTTTAGATGACAATGTCAACTGGTATTCCAGTAGTGAAGAGGAAGAGGGGAGCAGTGTTAAATCAATACTAAAAACCTTAAAGAAACAAAGCGAAAATTTTAGGAATCGGCAACAACATTCCACAGAGCAGCACATGCTTGGTATTCCTACTGATCCAAGGCTGGCAAAAGAAAAAGGCGCAGGGCCCCAAGCTGCTGACCCAAGGCTGCGGGCTTCTCAGAGGTCCAACCCCAGAAAGCCTTCAGAATCCACGTCCTTGGACCCACGGCTTGCACGAGATCCCCGGATGCACAAGGTCAGTGAGGGTGGACACGCCAGCTCGTCCCTTGGGGGAGCAAAGCTAGATTTACACCATGTGCACACTGGGGTTAAAGTCAAGCAGAAAGGGATGGATGATGATGAAGAGGACTCAGAAAGAGAACTGAGAGAACGAGCTTTTCTGATACCGTTGGAACCTTTGCCTGGTGTAACGTTAAGGGATCCCCGATCTCAGCTTAGGCAGTTCAGCCACATTAAAATGGATGTTACCCTGATGAAACCAAACTTTGCTAAGCATATTGTATGGGCACCTGAAGACTTGCTACCAATACCTTTGCCTAAGCCTGACCCCGTCTCTTCAATCAACTTACCTCTTCCGCCACTCATTGCTGACCAGAGACTTAATAAACTGCGGAATTTGAAAAACGATCCCCATCCAAATGCAATGCCAGCTGACCCACGACTAGCTGCAAAGGCAAAAAACAACTTAACGGGCAGGAGTGGCTATTTGGATCCATCTGCAGATTCACATGCCAGTAGCTCAAGCAAATTAGGAGATCCTCGCTTACAAAAAAACGTCGATCCCAGACTCCACAGACTGTCAAGTGCAGATACGCATCATGGAGTCGTGAAGGATTCACACCCTCTGAAGTTTGACCCCCGCCTCGCCAGATCTGCTGCTGGCTCATCGCAGCCCTCAGAAGCTGCGACTGCTAAACATGACCCAGATGCTTTGCCTCCGTACGCGCCCAAGTTATCATCGAGCGGTGTGAGGCTGGGAACTCCAGGCTCAATACTGAGCGGTATTAGTTTGTATGATCCGAGAGATCACAGCTCATCATTGGACACAGCTCCAGCTAGTTCAGGAGAGAATGGAGAGAACCAGAAAAAAAGTATTTTGAAAAATTCTGGTAAAAATGAACCCAGTCTCTCAGAAGATACATCGCTGCAGAAGGCTGCCTCGAATGTGGAAAAAAATACAGAAGGATCAGCAGAAGCCACTTCAGATAAAGCAAATAGCACCAGTAAATCTCAGGCTAAACACTCCAGCGCTGCACCTGCGGTGCATAATCTTCCTATCCAAGCTTTGTCGGGATTAATCAGACCGCAGTACAGCGACCCAAGGCAGGTTAGACAGCCTGGACAGGTAACTCAGACACAGGATAGTGATCCAAATGGGGAATCGGATGACAAGTCATTAAAGGATGTTTTCAAGACTTTCGATCCAACTGCTTCACCATTTTGTTAGCAATTGATTTTAAGTCTTTTTACTGTTGTGAATATTGCAGTTTTCTGCTGTTTTGTAACTGGTTTACCTCTTTGCTTTATTTATTTTTAAATTATAATTATCAACACTTTTCAGCTGCTAATCTCAGAACCACATGCAGTTATACAGTATGCTATAGTGTTTGCAAAGCTGTGGTATTTTCTATATAATACTTTTCCAATTTCAGGGAGACTAATAATTGACATGTAGAAACCCCCCCATGTATTGTGTTAGAGCTGATAAAAGCACTTTCATTGTAAATAAGTCATTAAGAAAGTCCGAAGACCTGTATATGTGTGAGCTGTCTCTTTCATAAACAACATTTAGATATGATTGCCACATTTGTATGATTGTATAGATACAAGCAATATGATGTACATTACTGTGAGAGACACTGTTTGACAAGGATTGTCTGACGCATCAAGCCAAACCTACTAACTGATTTAAGACCTACGTAAAATGATTTAAAAGGAAAATGTTGATCCTCCTTTTCAGAACAGTTGTTGTAAGACATTGACAGTTTTTATTCATGCAGTCAATATTCTTAGTGTAAAAGAGACCTATATCACATATTGAGGATTTAAAATGTCATATCTTTTAAAAGTATTTTATTCTATGCTGTATATAGAAGAAATTGTGAAGTACATAACTAGAAGAAAGTTACTGTTAAAAGTGGATAATACCTAAGTTGTCCAATACAAAAAGATTTTTATTTAATTTTTTCACGTATACACAATTCTGATTAGTGCTATAAGTTACATTGTGGTGTTCATGTATTTCAATGTATTTTTGTATTCAGCTGCTTAATTTGTATTTGCTTTTTTTGTATTGATGTAACTGCAGTACTTGTATTCATGGTGTCTTTATGACATTTTTAACAAAAAAATTAAAAAGGGTACAGTTAAAGTCTGGTAATGACTGTGATGTTGACATGTTGGCAGCTAGTTCAGTGTTGGGGAAAGAGCAAGGGGCGTGTGTGAAGGATAAAGGTGACTAAAACTGGTTTTAGTGTAGTCGGTTGGTAGTGGGTTTTTTTCCCACCTTGTACAGAATCCAAATGAAGTTAGCTTGGTTCCAAGGTCAGACATGATTTGGAGAAAGTTGTCATTGATTCTCTCACTACGATGATCAGCATCGCTATAAGAAATGTCATGCATGTTCTTTAATTTCCGATGTTGCATGCCAAGAGCACAACTGTCCTCAAAGCCTCTCGTTTTGCCTTTTGGGTTGCCTTTTATATAGAGGAAATGTAGTCATATCTAGCTAGCTGCATTTACAATAAAAATTTGCCGTCTGCTCAATTGCCATCTGGTCCCGCCCACTTGGAATGTTTCTTTGCATTAAGCCTCTTACTTGGTGGACCTTCTCCTCTTTGTTTCTGTTTGTTGGCCCAAGCGATGATTGCAACTGGGACAGTATAGTGTTAATTACAACTTTTGAGGTTTTGGTTTCTTGTGCTGGTGAGGCAAACAGGCAAGAATAGAAGTGTCTTGCACTGATGAGCAAAGCTGGGACGAACAGAGGGAAGCTGCTGATTTCTACATGTGCAAAACATGTCAGAGGAGACATCGTGGAAGGCGATAATAGTTTCAATTTGCCTTCCTAATTTCCCAGACCATAAACTGTATTAATGTTATGTTTTGAATCACACTCACTCAAAATAATTGAAAACTAGATAACAGACATGAAACTTGGTTGTTATTTTGGAGTAATCTGTTAGTCCTACCTAATTACTTCTTGTTACTTCATGCAGTGACAAGTTTGGATGTTCAAGAATTTCATCAAAACAACAAGACAGCAGAACTGGACAGCAGGGTACAATAGAAATAATTTGGAAATAGCACATGGATTGGTAGAGGAACAAAGAGGAAAAAGTGACAGCATTGAAGCCAAATTCATGGTTTCACATTTAGATATGGAAAGTACTTACAGGATGTGCAGTTCTAATCTGAGGTTACAACTTGTAGGGTCATGATGATGTCATTACTGAATTGAATTCTGTGGGTTTTCTGAAAGTACGGGGGGAAAAAAGAGTCAAAGGAAAAGCTTTGATACCAAGATCAAAATGATGTGCCTTACAGTTGAGATAACTGAAGGATCCCAAGTGGTTTGCCATCAGTCCAGTTGTGTACCCATTGTGGAGTTGCAGGGTGTGTTTTGGTGGAGGGACGCGGTGTGCTGGCTTCTAGCTTTGGAGATCCACTGCCATCTCAGTATCTTTAATACAACACAGATGTTGATTTTGGAAAAGAAAGCGTAAGGATATGTAATTTGAAAGGGGACAGGTAGTCCTTGCAGCCTGTTGTCTCCGTGTGTAATGGCCTCCTTCCTCCTTCCCAGATCCAGCTGTCCCCAGCTGGCAGATCCCTGTGGGCCACCCCAGCAACGGCGCAAGATATCTGCCAGCTGCCGCTCAGCTTCTCTGTCTGCCTGTGCTTGCTGGTTTATTCGTTGCAGATTTCTTCCTGGAGTTTCCTGTGTGGATTGATTGTCTTTCGCAGGGAAGGCTTGTTCCCAACTCTTCTACAAGTGCAGCATGGTGCCATGGAGCAGGACTTCCCTTGGACACTTGCAGCTCATGCCCCTGAGCCTGCAAAGCAGGGGTGTGGAGAGCAGTAACAGAGGCAGCCAGTGGCATTGGTCTTGGATACTCTGGAAGCCTCCAGCTATGAGGTGGTTGATCATCAGCATTGAATGTTCTACTCTGGGTAAAAGCGAGTCCTGGGGCTGAGAGGGATTTTGGGAGAAAAGTCTCATTGCTTTGCAGGATCTGGTGAGTCAGGGCAGCAGGTGAGAAAATGCTTCCCACTCCTGCTAGCCCTGGAGATGTGCAAGGGTAAAATGTTCATGTCTGATCTTTTCTGGTCTCTGTGCTTCAGAAGGACCGAGCGTTGCTAGATCACCACCTGGTGTTTGCTGCCCTGTGATAAAAAGGGAGATTTCTAGCCTCCCTGGGTAGCCTGTTTTAATAGTTTTCTACCATGATGAAAAGACTCTAACATGAATCTTTGCATGAATATTGCAAAATAAATTTATTATTGCAAAGTAGAGAATACTTAATTACATCCTGTTTTGTATTTCATAAGTCAGTCTTCCTTCTTCAGTTCTTTCCTCCAGCTTTTGTAGAGCCTTTTTCATGTTGCCCTCTGAATTGGTATTTTGCATATGAGCTCCACCTTGTGCACTGGCTCTTCTGCAGGATTAGGTATCTGGCTGCCCTTCCTGTGCAGCGTTTAGGAATGCTACCTCTAGAAGAAAAGGTGATGGTTGCTAAAAAGTTTGATAGTGCGCTAAAGATCAGGGCCTGAGAAAGGCCAACCAGCTCTGAGGCTTTTCTGTGCAGAAGAGCAATTCAGTCACAGAAACCCCTGCTCCTTCCCTCCAGCCAGATTTGCTGGTGCTGCTACAAATGCTTCCCTACATCCTCCTGTTCACATCTGAGGTGCTGAAGAACACAGAACAGGCAGTTACTGAAAGTTTTGTAATGAAGGTACCTCATCACATTGTGTCTTCCCAATATCAATGTTTGCCAGAGGAAAAAAAAGCCTGACTGACCACCTAAGAACCAGAGCTGGCTCACAGCTGGACAAGGGCATGCAGTATGTGAATATAAAGAATTGCAGCTCCACTTGGTGGCCTCTGATTCAAGAGCAATGGCTTCAGAATGACTCATGTGCCAGGTAACAAAGATCAGTGAATTATATTTTACTGAACAGGACACCTTCTGTTTTCCCTTTCACAGGATCTTAAAGCTTTTTCCCCAACTCCTATGTCGTCTGTGACTTGGTGTCACATCTTCATACTCGACTTCAAACACCACCTGGAAGAGAGGCCTCTTAAGAAATACACTAGCTTGTGCCATCACTTTTTTGCCAACTGAAAAAAGAAGAATAGAAAAGAGTGTCTCTGCAGGGTGGAATTTGCCACAGCAGGAGCAGCCAGCACACAAAAGCCTTTTCAGGCCTTGCACTCTCAGTCCTTCTGCAAGAGCAGCTCTAGGAGAAGAGATGTGAGCCAGGAGGACTGCAGCACAGGCCATACTTTTTCTGGTGAGACCAGTTAGCAATCTGATTCCCTTCCAGCAGAAGCCCTTTCCTATTTTTACAGGTCACTGTCCATAATTGTATGTCCTTTAATAGGTTTTGGATGCTTGGGGGTAATTCTTGGTCTGAGGTGACTGTTCCTGCACAGTAGCCATCAGGGTGGGTTCAGCCCTTGTCTGAGTCTTGCGAAGGCCTAATTCATCCCTGTCTGAGTTTAAAGATGCCTTGGCTCTATGCCACAACAGGTTTTTTCTCCACTGCATGCAGAAGGCAGCTACTTCTTCTTCTTCTGAGTCAGGCGGGGGCTGTTGCAAACCCTATTAGACAAAATGTTTGCATGCTTTAACATATTGTTGTACATGGACTTGTTTAAAATATGTTTAAATGATATGAAAGTCTGAACGTGTGTGTGACCAGTGTGACATCTCTACCAATTAATGCTTTTAAAATTGTTTAAATGCTTAAAAGTGCTTAAAAAAACTGCTTACAGAGAGATAAAAGGAATGCAGTATAGTTAGTTTATTGATAAGCAGGGAAATTTCCAAAGGGAAGAAGCCAGGTCATAAAAGACTTGGTAGTCTAGACTATCAAGATAAAAGAATGGCTAGTTACTTCAGGCTGACATTGGCAAAGTAAAAAATGGACATATATAGTATGTTTTTAACAGTATGGGCAAGTAACCACAGGAGGAACTTTTTCACCCTTGTGGCTGATTGTTCATCCAATAGGATTCTAGTAAAAACTGTGTCTCTCTCAAAAAGACATGCTGAAGCTCAGCAAAAGTTGTGGGGCTACATAGGACGCTAGGGCACACAATGAAAAAACGCATCAGTGGAGAGTCTGGTTCTATTTGCACTTGTTTTCTGGGTGCTTTCAGATAAAGCCTGCTCTCAAACTATTTACAGTTGGATCAGTCAGCCATCATTGGCAGCTGCAGGGGAAGCTCTTGGGAGTTTTGATCAAAGCTCATTTTGAGACAACAGAAAGGCTAGGACTGACACAGACTATTGCCAAATAAATACTCCAACAAGATGCTGCTGCTCATCTATCCAGAAATGAAATGGGAAATGGGCCAGCTAAAGATGTCATCAGAGTTGGTAGCAGTGACAGAGCAGATTCAGTGCCTGGAAAGATGTGTAGTGGGCTTTGGAAACAAGACAGAAAGGCATAAAATAAAACCATCACAGTAAGAATGTTTACCCCCAGCTGGCATCAACAGAGGTCCCATGGCAGCCAGCTCCCACCTCCCATAACTCGGCTGGGCTGTAGGAGCTCCCCACAGCGTGGACTCACCTTGCAAAACCTGATGCCATCGGTGTTAACTTACTTTGATACACGCTGCTTCGGCTGCCTTCAGAACATGCAAAACTGCTTGAATTAGGTTCTGTATGTTGCTCACGAGCAGCTCAGAAGAGGACTTGCTCTCTGCAGTGACTGCTTTTACCCTTAGAAGACATTTTAAAGGATTTTACTGGAAGATCACCAGACACTGTGCCTCCCCTGTGGGGCTAGAACTCTGTCAGTTACTCCAAACCCAGAAGATTGTTCCCAGAGCAGGTTTCCATAGAGGCAGGCAAAGCAGGGGAGGAAACAGCAACAAGAAGAGAAGAGGAAGCCCACTGAACTGTAACTGAACTCTTAAGGGCTATGCCCAGACCCAGCAAGGACCTCTGGAGACCACCATGCACATCTCTGAGAAGGGGGCCAGTAGCCTTCTTGACCCTGGCAACTCACCTGGTGATGATGCTGAGCTGGCTGCTGATGGTGCGGGTCTGCTCTGTGGCACACAGCAGCTCTGCAGAGCATCTCTTGTCAAGGCAATGCTTTGCAATGATGTGGCCAAATTTAACAAACACCTGCCCATCAGAAGCAATTTGCCTTGCACAGGTGACAAGCTGGTCCTTGCTCTAAAACAAAATAAAAATTAATGTGTTTGGGGGAAAAGACAGAAAAATACCACTTTCCCTGCAAGACAGAGGAGTGTCCAGGAAGCTCAGATATGTTCTGAAACAAGGACAGGGCTGGATGCCAAGTTTGCATCTAATCAGGAGGAAGAAATTTCTAGTGCTTTGCATAAATATAGCTGGTGCCACACTTACAAGAGCAGGGTAATGCTGGGGTTTCAGCAGGCACTGGGCAGCCCTGTCACTGGCTTTGACCGTGCTCTGGAGGAAAAGATGAGCTGGGGTGGAGGGGGTGAAACACTCCATACCATGATGGGGCCCTTCTTCCCCAGGAACTGGGTCATGTGAAGCATCATCGTTGCCATGTCCTTGGTGACCTGGGACATCTTGCTGGGGCCACCCTGCCATGTGTCACTGTCTTGTCTCTCATGCATTGCAGGGCTGCTGGTAAGGGAGATGCTGGGAGGACTGTTCTGGTGCTGTTGAGACAAGAACTGAACAGACGGGAAGTCTGGAGCATGCAGGTGCACTGATGCTGAGAAGTCTCTGCCTGTGTGTCTCTGGAGCAGTTTTTAGCAAGTAAAAGAGACGGGTGAGCTGCCCACCACCTTGCTGGCTCAGCTCTGCCTTCCCAACCATCCCTTCTCTCCTCTGCCTTCACCCACAGTGGGACTATCAAATCCAAATGCTTTGTGCCATCATCTCCTGCAGCTATCTCTAAATGGGTGGTAGCTGTTATGTGAGCTGACTCTTCTGAGTGATCTGGATTGTGTTGCTGCAGCCTTTGCCAGCTCCTGGCAACCAACTGCAGTTGTTCTGGGAGCGGAGTTGCTGATATGCCCCAATGGTACTTGTGGGGAGGTGAGGAGCTGAACAGAGACAGGTAGTGTTTCAGGGGAGGGAGAGCAGTACAGTCCCCTGCTCCTAAGAAACAGCATTTTGGAGGTGGGTTTATTTATGCAAGAGCACCTGTCAGATCAGATATCCAGAACTCAGCTGCACAGGGCAGGCAGCAACCTGATCTAACTTTGAAGGTGGCCATGGGGTTGGACTACTGACCTCCAGAGGTCCCTGCCAACATCCCGTATCTTAATGCTCCATGGTGTGAGTAATAGGACTGACTGACAGCCCTGACCATCACCCTGCAGTAGGTGTTGATGGAGGGAAAAAAGCTACTGTACCATTTCACGTGCCTTCCTGGCAGCTCCACAACCTCGTCTGCTCCTGCTCGGGCAAGTTTCTGCTGACTTGCTGTGGCTCAGAGCATCAGGCTCTGGGGCTGTGAAGAGCTTGGCTGTGCTGGGCAAGTGCTGGTCCCCTGCATTCCGCAAGCGTTGCGTTATGAGCTGCAGAATGTGTCCGCTGACTCCCGGGGCAGCCCGAAGCTGTGTGATGAGGTAGTGTGCCATTGCTGACCAGCACCAGACAATGCTGTCTAGGTGCAGAAGCCCTTCGTCCCCACGGCTCTCGAAGAGCTGGCTGGCACTGCCCACTGCGTCAGACGTGAGGACCAGGAGGTGCTCTGCAACAGAGAGCAGGTTTGCCTGCGATTGCAGTTGAGTGCTGGCCTCCAGCGTGTCTTGGAGGGTGGTTTTGACCCACTGAACGTTAGCCATTAGCTGACTTGCCTTCTCTTCAAAGGCCTGTTTGCTCCTCTCCCTGTCCTCTTGAGAGAAGGGGGACAGGGCTGGTCCGGCGACATCTCGGATGACCTGCAGGTGTTCAGTATTGACCTTCTCCAGGTGGAGCAATAATGCCTTGGCTCTGAGGGCCAAGTCTCTCTGCAGGAGCTCAAAGCGAATGTACAAGCTGTCAGTAGGCAGTGGAGACACTGAGAGGGTATTGCAAGCATCCAGCAGCGCTTCCATTAGCACCTTTATCTCCTCCCTGAGTGCTAGGATTTCACTGCGACCACAGTCTTCGGGGCAGGACAGGTAAGAGAGCCAGGCAGCTTCCTGCAGCCTCAGAGAGTTCTCAGACACAGCAGTCAAGAGGCTCTGTGAGCAAAGCTTGTTCTTCACAGCACTCCTCAGCTCCCTCAGGAAGAAGACGTCCCTGCCTATGAACTGATCCACAGCGCCCAGCAGAACGTGCATGCTGATGGCCCACTGGACACAGTGCAGCTCCAGGCTGGCCTTTCCCACCCTGCAGGAGCCGTTGAAGGACACTGCTTTCTCAAGTAACACTTTGGTGTTCATCTGAGCACGTGAAAACTTGGCTTGGACCTGTAGAAAGCTCTCCCAGATATCGAGGGAAATGAGATTTCCCTCACTACAGGCAATGCTTGCAATGTCTCCTGCTAACTGAACTGCTCCTGCTAAACTCATCATGGTCTCATCCAAAGCCTGTTTGCCTCTCAGAAAGTCAGCCGACAAGATAAAGCCAAATACTTGCTGAGAGAGACTATACCAAGAGCCTGCCACGGCTGCCAGGCAGTCTTTGGTCTCACAGATCCTGTCTGAGAGTGTGAATGCCATTTGGAGAAGTCTGCTTGGACAACAAAGCTGCCTTGGGGCTGTTTCCCTGGCCAGGCTAATAACACATGATGTCAGTAATACAATCCCCTGGTACTGCCCCAGTGTCTCCTTCTGGGGAGACTCAGCGATGGGCAGTGCTTCCTTTGCAGCGTCGATACAGCCATTGGAGAGTTCAAGCAAGGCAGAGCAAGCAGTGTTGACAGCGTCCATATCGTAAGCTCTTGTTGCTGCTAGAAGAGCTGTAATGACAGGGTGTGTATCTCCTTTCCTTGGAACAACATCTGGGTGAGAGTTACCTGCTCGTGGAGTTGGACATCTTAAGATGTCTTCTTGTGATGCAGCCTCCTCTGTAAGGGTTTTTAGCCCAGCATGTGATGGGCTGAGTTCAAGCCGCTTTGCACCAGCAGTGCTTCGCACTTGTTCCCGCAGAGGGCTGAGGATATCTGGGTGGTTGGACCCATCCAGCCCGTTTTGGACATGCTGAGCAATATTCATCAGGCAGCTCACTGCCTTTGAAAAGATGTCCCTAGTTAGGAGGCAGGAGAGTCTCTCTGGGCAAAGGGCTGTGACTGCTTTCAACTCAGGGATAGAGTTGGCCAGTTGCTCAACCCAAACCAGCAAGCCGTTCCTGAAAATGGGGTCTGTGGCTCTGTCCACATACCTGGTGGTAGCTTCAACCACCCACTGAGCCCAACTGGTGAGGTGAACTGCATGCCAAGAGAACTTCCCAGGGTCCTGACTTTCCAGGGCCTTTTCACACCATTCCCTGTGCTTGGCCATTTCCTGGATGGACACCTTAAGGAAATCACACATGCTGACCGTCTTCTCAAAACACCACAAGAGGCTTTCTGTTGTCCCAGCCCATGCATGGTACAAGGACTGCAGCTTCTCAGCAGCACTCATCTGAGCTGTATTTCCACTCATTTCTGTGAGCAGTGGCGGGAGACTGGCAAGGAGTCTCTTCAAATACTCCACCCGCTCTCTCATTTCTCTAGTGGTTTGGATTTTGGTGCACCTGGCCAGAACAAAGTCTGTTGCTCTGAGCATCTGCTGGGTGTGTGTGAAGAAGGTGGCAGTGAGGGGCTGAAGCTTCTTTAAAAATACTCCTTGTCCTGCTGGAAAACACCCTGTACCAGCAAGGCTAAGGGCATCTTCAACTAACTTCCTCAGGGGTAAATTGCCCTCAAAGAAGGTGTCAAGGATTTGGCACAGAGTAGCTGTGAGCACTGCCTGGTCGAGAGTCTCCACCTCCTTTCTCATGTGGTGACACTCCTCCTCCAGGCTGCCTTCTCCCCAGCTTTGCCCTGGCCATCCCTCCTGCTGGCTTACGTGGCTGCAGATGCTCTTCCTCAGCCGTAGCAAAACCCAGCAATGTTTTACCAGGTCCAGCTTCAGATCTGGCCTAGACGAGTCTGCTAGAAGCATGCAGTAAAAAATGACCGCTTCCACGTGAGCACTGAACTCACTCTTAGAGAGGTGTACTGGGTCTGGGCAGGAGAGGAGAGCCAGCAGCCTGCTCATGTGCTGGGAGAAGGTCCCGCTTCTCTCCCATGGCTCCTTGCTGCCCGTATTGTTAATGAGCAGGGAAATGAGCTCTTTGATCGTCCTCTCCGTCAGCTGGAAAGCATAGTCTTTGGAGAGGTTGTATTGCTTATCCCTGGAGTGTTTAAGATTGCTGTGCTTGGCTGCATGGAGCGAAGGAATGCACTTCTGAAGGAGCTGCAAAGTTTGGGCCAAGCTCTTCTGTCGAGGACAATCTCCAAGTTCCTCGAGGCGCTTTGCTGTCAGATTGCTCAGCAGAAGCAAGGCCTTGGAAAAGGCCCGGAAAGCAGCCAGCAGTCCTGGCATGTCCCCTGCATCCCGCAGCACGCTCAGGCAGTCCAAAAGCCAGCTGGCAGCCTGAATGATCCTCCTCACCCCAGCAGTATCTTCGATCTGAAGGATCTAACCAGAAAAAAAGGGCAGAAAAAGTGGTCAGAGTGGCTAAGGCTCAAGAGTCCTTGTTCACTATTTCATCCCTTGTGCAGCCAGGATGACACCACAGCCCTTGCAGGGAAAAGGTGTGTTTTGCTCAGCAGACCTGCCCTAGTGAGCACGTGGTGAAGAAACAACCATTTCTCTAGTTTGAGCCTCCCCCAAGCCCCAGCCCCTGTGCTGGTGGAGGGCAGCTCTTGTCCCTCCTACAGCTGCACCCTTACCCACCTCTGCCTTGCCCCCCCTGCTCGCTCCAGCACTATCCCCCTCTGCTGTTACCTTCACTGTGTCTGTTAAGACCCTCTTTGCTGATGCAGCCAGCTCTTCCCTGCAGCCAGGGTTCTCCGGCTGTACCTGAAGTTTGCAGGCTGCCAGCAGCACACACCTCCCTGCCAGCACGAGGGACTCGGCCGCAGGATGCATCTCCTCCTTGAACTCCTCATCGCTGGATTCCTCAGCCAACCTGGAACAGAAGCCACGGGGCTCAGCTCTTTGCCATCCCGTGAATACCAGCCTCGGCAGGTAGCAGCAAGGATGCTGCCCTGGTCTCAGGCTTTATCACAATTAGCCACTTTAACTGGGCTTGAATTGATTTTTAGCTGTATTTGCAAATTGTTTTCAGAACCATTTGCAGTGGCTGCAACACATTTTAAGACAGGGTGTCTACAATCTACCAGGTCCTAGCTGTGACAGCTGGCCCTGTGGCCAGCACCTAATCTGTGGAGCTGGGCTCCAGTTTTACTGAAGCATTCAGTAAATTTACTGAAGCATTCGGTCAGTTGTCTGATTGTTACTTTAAGATGTGTTAAGCTTAAAAATTGCTTGTTGAGGTTTTGCTTACGTAGCCATGTCCCTTCCAAGCGCATATCCCTACTTTGTCCCATCTCTCCTTTTCCCTTCCTAATCCTGTTCCTCATCCCGTCCTCCTCCTTTTCCCACCTCTGCAGTGGGGTGCAGACAGGGAGCAGCAGGCAGGAGAGGTAGGCTCCCCGTCAGTTTCTTTGCCATCCCCTCTTCCTCCTTCCCAGCCCCCAAATCTGCCTGGGAGACACCCGGCAAACTTACCTTCTTGCAACAGAAGCAAGTTCTTCAGTGGCTTTGGCTAATTTTTCTGCATTCTCCCCTAAATTGGGAAAGGTCTGACAAATCCCATTTTCCCATTCCAGGGCGAGGATTAGATGGCAGAGCTGCACAGCCATCGGGCAGAGGATCCTTCTAATAGCTTGGTTTTCTGTTAGGAACCCAAGGTCATAAAGATAAAAAGGCTCCATTGTGTCCTGTCTGGAAAAGGGAAAAAAACCCTGGGATTATTTGGGATCTTTGTAACCGTTGCCAGTTTTACCAGTGACCTTGGATTTGCATGGCAGCTTCTGGCTGTAAATCCCACAAGGAGCTTGGAAATGCTACAGGGTTTAGTTTCTCCCAACAAGGGTTTAGTTTCTCTGCAACGAGGTCAGCAACCTGCATTTCCCCCAGCTTTCCTGCTGTGGACTCCCGGCCCTGTAGTCCTGCACACGAAGCATCCTCTGGTTTTTCTCAGCTTCAAGGCACAGCCGTGTCTCCAGGATGTCCATCCGCTGCTCCTGAGTTTACATCTAACAGATCCCATTGTTATCCGAGCCAGCGACAGCAGCGCCGGTGTTTCCTTACCCGGGCGCAGACAGTCCTGGGGTTGGGGTCCTGGGCTGTTCCTGGCGTGGCGATGGTGACAGTGATGTTACCTCCTAGCACCCCGCTGTCAGCGGGGGGACGTGGGGGTGCCCATGCCAGGGTCTGTGGCCTGTGCACATGCAAACAGCTCCTAGGCAGGGATATGAACCCACAGCGGGTGGCGGGGAGGGTATTAATTACACCTTGATTACAATATCTAGGTTCCTGTTGTGGACGGGGTGGAAGGCAAGCGCCTGCTGGCAGTCTGTGTGGGGCAGGGTGTTTTAGGGGCTGACGGCTGGCACCCCCGTGGGCCTCTCCCTTGCTCTTTCGAGGCCAAGGACATTTCCAGGGGGGCTGGGGGCTGCCTTAGGCCTGGGGACGCCTCCCCTCCCAGGGATTTCTGTAGGTCCGCAGGGCGCTTGAGGGCCCTGGACGAGGAGGTGTCCGTGTGGGAGGCCACGGGGGGGGTCCCCCCTTGCCAGGATGCGCCACCCCTTGCCTGGATGCGCCAGTGTCGCCGTGGAGACGGTGGCGGCCGGACGGGAGCGG